TAAGAGAAACAGAGTATCCTCGTTCTCTCATAGTCGAAACCGACAATGACAAGCACTATAGACGTAACACTATCCATCTTAGAAAAACCAACGCGACAATTCACTCTAACACCCGGGATTCAATCTACACATCACTGCCAGAGATGACAACAGCTGAATCACGTCAAACATCTCCAAACCAGGTAGACCGCAATCAAAACCCATCTGACGAGGCGGCTGCGACTTCAGACAGTCCTGATTCATCAGTTGTTAGAACACGCAGCGGAAGAGTTGTCAAACCAGTGATGCGCACGATCCATGCCAGGAGTAAACAAAAAAAAAAAAAAAAAACAATGCAGTCCTGATTCATCACTTGTTAAAACACGCAGCGGAAGAGTTGTCAAACCAGTGATGCGCTACGATCCATGCCAGGAGTAAACAACAAAAAAAAAAAAACAATGCTTACGCTTATATATTACGTACATATTTATGTAAATGCATTTTGTATTTGAATGTATTTTGGATTAAATTTTTATTCTTATTGTCTTAAATTTTACCAGAGAGTTAGGCGACTTACGTAAGATTTCAAGATCAGGGCGTACTCCTGTAAGAACAACAATGGCGACCTAGTTACCGATGTTCAGAACGTACTTAAATTATGGAGGGAACACTTTTCCACTCTACTGAATTGTAGCAGCACGGAAAGTTGTGGAGAAGAAGAACCCGAGCCCCCAGTTGATGATGACGGAGTCGATGGTCCTCCGCCTGACCACGACGAGGTACGACAATAACGACCAGAAAGGCGACCCCGCCATTCGGGCCAACTACCGCGGGATCAGCCTTCTAAGCAAAGGTTACAAGGTCTTATCGAGCGTATTGTGTGAAAGGCTGAACGCCGCCGTCAATGAACTGATTGGGCCTTATCAGTGTGGCTTTAGGCCTGGAAAATCCACCATAGACCAGGTATTCACAATACGCCAGATCTTGGAAAAGACCCGCGAGAAAATAATCGACACTCACCAGCTATTTGTCGACTTTAAAGCCGCTTTCGACAGCACTAAAAGAGTTGCCTATACGCCGCTATGTCTGAATTTGGCATCCCCGCCAAACTGATACGGCTGTGTAAAATGACGTTGAGCAATCCCACCAGCTCCGTCAGAATTGGGAAAGACCACTCCGAGCAGTTCGCCACCAAACGAAACTTCAGACAGGGCGACTCTCTTTCATGTGGCTTATTTAATCTGATGTTGGAGAAGATAATAAGAGCTGCAGAACTGAACCGCTCAGGAACAATTTACTACAAGAGTGTGTAATTGCTGGCTTATGCCGATGACATCGATATCATCGGTAACAAAAACCGCGAAGTCTGTTCTGCCTTTTCCAAGTTGGATAAGGAAGCAAAGCGAATGGGTCTGGAGGTAAATGAGGACAAGACGAAGTATCTCCTGTCAACAAACAAACAGTCAGCACATTCGCGCCTTGGCACCCACGTCACTGTTGACAGTTACAATTTCGAGAAAGTAGAGAATTTGGTTTACTTGGGAACCAGCATTAACACCGATAATAATGTCAGTATGGAAATTCAACCCAGAATCATTCTTGCCAACAAGTGCTACTTTGGACTGAGTAGGCGATTCGGGAGTAAAGTCCTTGCACGGTGCAAAATGTGTTTGATGTTAAACTCAACCCTGTAAAAGAGCATGTTGCCTTCTTTTCCTTGTTTACTTCACTCATTTCATAATATTATCGTTTTAAGCAACCATCTGATTTTCAGGGCAACCATCTCCACTGACAAACCTTCACTGGGCAGAAAATGTGCCTTTTTTGCCTTATAAAAGTGTGATACTTTAAGAAACGAACACAAAATGTTCTTACCGCTTGCCCTTATTTTAGAATCGAACACAAAAAGAGAAAGGGGCAAACAAAATGCGACATTTTTTGGTAGAAACGAAATTACCATAAGTTATAAAATGGTTATACGGAACACGATGTAAGAAGTTTTTCTTTCCTAAAAACGAATATTGGCTTGCAAATCGATTTTCGGTGTCCACTATCAGATATTGTGGAAATGACAGATCCAACACCTTCGAAGCAGTCAAAAATTGGACCTTATCTTAGTTTTCATATTACTACTATGTGAAAAGTGGGCGTGATTAATGTGCGATTTCGCCAATCCAATTTTCTACACCATCAATTCTTGGTCTTCTGTTAATTTATTCCCTAAGTTTTATTGAGATACCTTAATTCTTACTCCAATTATAAATTAATTCCTCGCCTCCATATTTCTGAAAATTACACTTATATGAAAAGTGGGTGTGTTTATTGTCACATTTAGCCCATTTTCCACACCATCCATTGTTGGTATTCTATTTACATATTCCCTAAGTTTTATTGTGGTACCTTAATTATTATGTCCTCCACGCTAGCCGCATAGCCAAAGACAGGCGTGCTAAATACAAAATCTGCTCGGACTCCCTATCATCACTTCAATCAGTTTTAAATGTGAATGAGTCCAACCCAATAATATCCGAAATAAGGGACATTCTAATAGCAAACCCACACACCATCAAACTACTCTGGGTGCCTAGCCATATTAGGATACAGGGCAACACTCTTGCGGACAATGCAGCTAAAATGGCAACTAGATCACCACTTAAATTAACCAATATACTATGCAAAAATTACATCAGAAGGGCAGTTATCAACCACCACTTGAAATCTTCAATCTGTACTGGGAAACTTACAGCAACAGATACAAAACAATAAACCCTGGTCGGTCAGCACCTAATTTTCCCGTTGAACTACCAAGAAGACACACCGTTATATATACACGGCTTCGTCTTGGGCACACGCGTATAACACATAAATATCTATTCGACAAATCTCCACCACCTACGTGCCCCTATTGCAATACCTACGACCTTACAGTAAGCCATATAATAAAAAATTGCCCCGAACTTGAAAGTATTCGCCAAGAAATAAGCAATAACGATTTGGAACAAACACTGAGAACTGTAAATACTACTAACATAAAAAACCTTATCAAATTCATATGGAAACTAAATATCTATTTTGAAGTGTGATAATATATTTACCTATGTACTACTTGTAGATATGTAAGTTGTAGACAATTATCATTAATTTTATTTTGAAAGCCGATGGCCTTTGTCGCTAGTGCTTATTCACATTGTTTAGGTTTAATTCATTATCCTGTACAATAAATATAATAATAATAATAATAATAATTCCCCACCTTCATACAAAATCTCCCACTGTGCGCCGCTTTAATGATAATCCAAACGAAAACCGTTTTAACAATGAACCTTTAACAGAGCCAATGGAAATAGGAGTTAATGAGAATAGGAAACATTTTCAATTGGACAGGCGAGTAAATTACCCTATATTAAAGAACTGCAAAATTCAACATTTTCTGTAAAAATGTCTTTTTCAAAAATTTCATGCATTGCTATGTCATATCAACTCAAACAAGGTGTTATGCCATGTCATTCCATCTCAAATATACTGTTTTAGCATGTCGTTGCTACTTAGCCAAGCTGTTGTTCGCTGTTGTGCTTCTGCAGCATATTTTTAATACTGTTTGATCCTGCCTTGGATGAAAATATATACAGATTTTTAATTAGACAATTCTTTAATGCATTTTACTATAATAGGTGCTTAAAAAAATTACAAAATCTCTTCCCGTATATAAAATGTAATTAATAATGCTGACTATGTCGCATGTGTCGCATGTGTTGCTTGTGTTGACATGCATAGATTTGATGTATGATTTGATTTCAATTATTCGACAGTGTCTTCATATGTTATTGTGAAACATAGTGCTGAAAAATCAGTACTTTTCAGTACACTTTTCTTCAAAGCGAAATTATGAATGTAAGTAACAGATAATACTTTAAAACGCCAGTGTACTTATTTTTTGTTATATAATTAAAATATACATAGTTCATAAAAAATAAAAATGTTATTCATTTCAACATGAGTGTAAACATCATTGTACACAAGAGCCAATAAATTATTTTATATTTATGACATTTTTGAATAGTAATAATGAGATCATTTCCATTCTTGGTTAAATAGTCAAAGAATTCTAAACATTTAATTTTAAAGTTACTTTTAATGTGAAGTTCAGTTTCAAAAATTTTCGTTTTCTTTCTTTGTGCAAGGAAGCAAACTTTATACTTAAGATCCTCTCATTTGCTTCGTTTGAGTGTGGTATTGAAAAAAAAACCGAATTACATATTTTTTCAAACTGTGGAAAAGTACCACTCTATATTTCCTCATGGAAAGACTACGCGATTCAACATTGCTCAAGAAAAATCGCTCGTGTAAATGGTGATTCAAAAATCGCTTGCCTCAAAGGGCTCTGTCACACGGTCAGTAATTGGGCGCGTTCATAAGTCTGTTTGCTTAGAAACGCACAGTTGAGTAGTTACGCTCAGCCCAACAGTTGGCAACTTTCCGCATTTTTTCCAGAAATTTTTTTACGCTACCTGAACTCAACGTGTTATATTAAATTTAACGCCGATTTGTTAGGTGGCAGTTGCAAACAAATTTATTATATTTTATATTACTGACGTGATAAAGTAACTAAAATATTTTATAATAATACCACGTTTCTAAATATATGTTTTTAAGATGTTTGCTATATAATTTTACACTGTTTAATTCATTGTAACATTGAACGATTTTTTCAACACGGCGGCCGCTCAGCGTTGAATTCTAAATAGTATCGGCGCAACTATCTCTATTTGTTGCAATTTCATTTGTTTACATTTATCAGCTGTTCATTTGGCAGCATATTCATCAAGCCGTTTCTAAGACGTAATTGTTGGGTTCAACAGTTGCCAGCAGTTTCGTAGCAGATGAGCTAAACAGCTACGTCTTATGACATTGATGGATTGATGGATCGCGCACGAATCAGGGATGAAAAAGTAGGTACAATTGTACCTTTTTCCGACGTTTGATGACTTAAAGGTACGTTAGGTACAGTCAGTAGATTTTAGGTACAATTATTATTATTGACCCATATTCGATTTTTGATTTCTGAAAATATATTTAAAATGCTTTCGAAATTATTATATTATACTAAAATTGAAGTTTGAAATGCGAATTCGTATGGTATTTGTTATACAATGAACTATATTTTTATAAGAAAATATTTAAAAATAAATAGCTGTTGGCCAGCGAAATCTAATTTTTCTCCGTTCCAATAATTATGTTATATTTTTTTTTAATATCCAGGTTAGGGCTGCCAGACGTCCTGGTTTTATAGTATTTGTCCCGATTTAGACAAATTGTCGTGGAGTCCTGGCCCACACTTAAATTGTCCTGATTTTTTAATGAAGGTCAGTGCAGACGCTCCTCTAATTTTTAGCAGATTTTTGCTACGAAAAAAGGTTAAGCCTTCTGTCATTAGTAGTCGAAAACTGATAACAAAACTTTGTTTCTAACATGTTGAATATTTTGATTCTGTTTTGTTTATTTAGTTAAAATCTTTTTTTTTTCAGGCGAATGCCGAAAAAGTGCAAGTTCCTAATCAGGTGCACGACTGAGGGGTCATACATAATACTACCCAGTAGATAATATCAGGAGCTAAAATCTTATCCAAAAGACCTTTCTGAAAGCTACTCCTTTCTCCTTCATTTTTTGTATGGAGCGGCACAAATTGAAGGGCTTCTGCTTTCGCTACTCAAAAAAGAGCTTTCAGAAGGGCTTTTGTAGGACGCCGTTTGAAGAAGTTCTTTTAAAGTTTTTCTTAATTTATAAAAATAATACTTATTTAAGGAATTTATTTCAGGTTCATATCAAATAGATTTATTTCGACTTGCAATGCCTATTGAATCTTATTTTTAATGCTAAGTAATATAAACATATACTTAACCCGGCGAGAATGTGGCCAGGTGTGACATACCCATCCTGTTACTTATAGGAGTGTATTTTTCTCTCTAGTTATTCAAACGTTTAGTTGCTTTGTTTAGCTGGAACCAAAGCACTGCGGTAGAGAATTGTGGCGTGATCGCATTGGGGCTTGTGCTCGAGTTACAAGCTTGCTAACATCGCTTGGGTATGTAATATTCCAACATTTATTCTTCATAGAATCTCATTCCAAATAAATGGACCTTCCAATATGTGGAAAAGCCATATGTATGGAGTATGCGGTATTTTTTTGTAAATACTGTTTCCCTTCAATATGTGGTGGATTTTTTAAAAGTACCAAAATTTTTTTTTGAAAAGTTTATAATTTCACTTTTCTTCAGTTATTGGTAATAATAAAAGTGTTTAACTGCATATAATTAAATATAACTGAACTACAACATTGCCCGTTACAGTACCTTTAATTCACCGCAAATTCTATGTCAAATACATTTTGGAGCATATTTTATATGCGGGTATGTCATACCCTGCCACATACTCTTTGTAACATTTTGTTACCACACTCCCGCCGGGTTAAGTATATTCGCGTAAATTGTAAATAGGAAACACCTTTCTAGGAAGCATGCAGGGAAACACTTTTTTCAGTCCTTGTTGGGTAAGTCTTTTAGAATGGATTCACTTAAGACAGCCTACCTAAATTATCTTCAGGTTATGCATATAAAAATTGGCAAAAGTTATCATAAGTGCATTGTAGGATATGCGAAAATTCGCTAATGGTGGTTAGGAAAACATTCAAGACCACGTTAAAGGCACCGCTTTTTCCAAGCTACGTCACTGCCAAGATAAATTGGTTCGTTTATAATTAAAAATTCAAAACTTGAGCGTTTCATCATCAATCATTCAGTTCTACGGATTGTGCCACAAAACTACATTGCTTATAATATCAGAACCAAAGCAACTTAACTTATAGGGAAAATATTGGCACCATATTCACTTGTATCTTCTTTTTTGATTTGGATGATAAGTATCTTAGTCAATGGGTTCAGGATTATGACAGCCGTAATGTAGGTATGTTAAAATAAAATACAACCCTGGTTCTTTTCCAGCAAGTCGAGATTTATTACTTAATAAAATAATGTAAAAAAATATTTTTTGAAAACAAGCTTTTATTTAACATGTACAATCAAAGGAATAAAATAATGTAGTGTTGCAAAAGATTTTTTAGCAAGAAAATTTTGTCACAACTGCACTAAAATGAATAAAATAAGTTAAGGTCTCGTTAAAGTTACTAAAAGCCATTTTGTGAAAGGAGTTACTCAAACTCTAACAAAAATTGCTAACAATTTGACCTGATTTACTTCGTTTTTAAAAAAGTTTTTCGCGCGAATAGCAAACCGGCATTTAAATACCTGCATACATACATATGCATACATACCTAACCAATTATGCATGACCGCTGAATTCGCCGACGAGCTTTTTTAAAAACGAAGTAAATTAGTACAAATTGTTAGTAATTTTCATTAGAGTTTGAGTAACTCCTTTCACTAAATGGCTTTTAGTAACTTTAACGAGACCTTAACTTATTTTATTTTATTCATTTTAGTGCAGTTTTGACAAAATTTTCTTGCTAAAAAAATCTTTTGCTACACTACTTTATTTTATTCCTTTGATTGCACATGTTAAAAGCTTGTTTTTTTAAAATATTTTTTTACATTATTTTATTTTGAACTTTTTAGTTTTATTTTATATAACCAGAACATAATGTTTTTATTAAGGGCTGACTCTCTATTTATGAGCGTAGTACATTTAATATAAGCGGCGTAAATCTTTTCGATCATCTGTTTAGGCTGAGCAAAACACGTTGAGTCCAGGTAGCGAAAAACTTGTACGATGGAAAAAATAGCGGAAAGTTGGTAACTGATGAACTGAGCGGAACTACGTAACTGCGTTTCGAGGACAAACAGTAAACGGTTAGACAATCTTAGTCTTATGAACGCGCCCAATGTGTCACGAATTAGGAGCATTATCAGAAATGAATCGGTGTCTTATTTAATTTAAGCATTCAGTTCAAGTACAAACCACACACTACCTGGTGTCTACAGAAATTCGTATAGAAATATCCCAAGGTTAACACCTGATTTATTCAAACTAATTTCGGGTGTTTTATCTTACCAAGGAATTCACAATAGACTCTATCATACCACTGCCTAAAACTATCCTACACAGCTGCGCCGGCAAATTACGCTAAAAGAAGCTGTTAAGCAGGGAGCGCACGATTTGTACATTTTGGCAGTCACAGAGTGGTGTTGTCTAGAAATAATGAGTTTAGCTCAATAACAACTTTCAAAAAACACCACTCTGTGACTGTTAAAATGAACAAATCCTGTGATCGCTGCTTTTGATGAAGATAAACATAAGGAGCTGCGAAATTGTTAAAATTTAAAGCTAAGTGTATAGTAAACATTTAGATTGTATGTTTGTTGTGTATGTGGAGATTCTTGCAAATTATTTTGAAATTTATACACATACATGTATACACAGCAGCAAGCTCATGCCACCAACAGCGATGTCGTATGCATAGAATTTCTACTGAGCATGTTTGTAAGTTAACTACATACAAATGTATATATGTATATCCATACATGAGCAAACATGCCATACGGAGTTATACCGCGCGGTACCATACCGCTACGGCTTGAGCAAACCTTTATGATGAAAACAGCTCTTATAAAGATTTTATTTTGTTGCTTAAAATAGAACAATTCTTTATATGTAAAGTCTATCTTAAACTGAAGCATTTTCACCTAAGCTAAGGGCCCGTTGTTGATTTTGAAATGTTAGCAAGTCATTATAACCCATTTATGAGATTGAAAATAGTGTTGGAAAACTATCGGTAGTGTATACATTCGATAGTTTCGATAGTGATAGTACAAAATATTCGATACTATCGATACTATCGAAAATTTTCTAACATATGTATATTGACTTAGAATACTAATACCTGTTTTCACCAATCTTTTTTAAGATTTATCAAACTTAGTATTTAAAATAGTAAAATTTCCTAAAAAAATTTGTTATTTCTAATTATAACAGTCTGATAGATTTAAAATTGTAAATGGGCAAATTGGATTACACATTTTATGGCTAATAAGGTCAAAAAGAATTTGCAAGTGATATAATAGATATCATCGCCTGTTAGTTCGTTTCTTCTTCTTGTCGGACAACAGTCAAGAAGAGATCTTGTTCTCAGATAATCCATTTCGCAACAAGAAAAACCATAGAGATTATTTGTATAAGCAAAAAGTTAACAACATATAACTTGCGTAAAAAAACGAGGAAGTAAACAGTTCATTTCATTTTAATTGAACCACTTTTTACCCTAAAAACTGTAAAAATTATTTTAAAACCAAAAGAAGTTATTTTTATAAGAAATTATATAAAGTCAGCCTTTAAGTCAGTCATTAAAAACTAATTACTTGCGTTTTACCATGAACCTGCTCGACGTGTAGTTAATAATGATGTGAACAAAATATAACTATCGATAGTGTTCAGAAAAATTCAATAGTGCCGGCAAAATAAAACCATCGATACTATCGATAGCCCCATCGATAGTTCTCCATCACAAATTGAAAACGAAAAACGAGGAGCGAATGCAATACAAAGCATTAGATTTAATTGACAATAGTCAAACTACATAACATAGACCTAAAATTTCTACAGAGAAAGTACAAATTTGAGATCGGTTTTAAGCGGTCGTTATTCATATATCCACATTCATACATATATTACCCTTCATATCAATTCAGGTCTATTACATGCGCCCCACGCTTTTCATTTTCAATCTCATAAATGGTTTATAATGACCTGCTAAAATTTCAAAATCAAAAGTTATCTATACAAATTCTATGGGATTAAGAAATATTATTTTCTAACTTTTAGTCCACTTATAAAAGCGTTGTATATTAAATAGTTTTATTTTTTTTATTTTTTTTTCTACCTTTTAGTCTTGTCTGTACAAAATTTTGCAATATATATTAAAATAATTCAACTTGCAGTGAAAGAGAACAGAAGACTATGCAAGCAAAATTTTGTTTAGTATAAACATACATATGTACATTAGGGTGGTCAAAAAAAAGTAAAGTCGGAAATTTAATGCTCTCACCCCCTAG